CCCCGATCCTATTCAAATACGAGGGGTTAGACTGCAGTGGGAACGCGTCACGTGTACGTGGTACGTACCTGGCCGCGGTTGGATTTTCAATATCCTGCCAGGACGAGGGATATCCTACGACGGATCGTCTGATCAGGCGATTTATCCTGTATCGGATACCGTCTCTCGCGTCGCGGCTTTAGGAAACGTATGAGGCTAGCTGATATTCGATGTAAAAGAAATTAAATCATGAATCGGAGGAGAGGAGATCGTGATCCCATGAATCGTATCGTCTATTTCAATGCCACGTCAGGCTTAGAATATCTAAACCTAGAAGAACGTTTTAGAAGATCTTGACATCTAGGCCTAGAAGGACATTTTAGAACACCTAGACATCTAAACCTAGAATAACGAGACCTAGAAGAACGTTTTAGAAGATCTTGACATCTAGGCCTAGAAGGACATTTTAGAACACTTAAACATCTAAACCTAGAAGATCGTTTTAGAAGATCTTGACATCTAGGCCTAGAAGGACATTTTAGAACACCTAGACATCTAAACCTAGAATATCTAGACCTAGAAGATCGTTTTAGAAGATCTTGACATCTAGGCCTAGAAGGACATTTTAGAACACCTAGACATCTAAACCTAGAAGATCGTTTTAGAAGATCTTGACATCTAGGCTAAGAAGGAAATTTTAGAACACCTAGACATCTAAGAGAATACCTAGACCTAGAAGAACGTTTTAGAAGATCTAGACATCTAGGCCTAGAAGGACATTTTAGAACACCTAGACATCTAGGCCTAGAATATCTAGACCTAGAAGATTGTATTAGAAGATCTTGACATCTAGGCCTAGAAGGACATTTTAGAACACCTAGACATCTAGGCCTAGAATATCTAGACCTAGAAGATCGTTTTAGAAGATCTTGACATCTAGGCCTAGAAGGACATTTTAGAATACCTAGACATCTAAACCTAGAATATCTAGACCTAGAAAGACATTTTAGAACACCTAGACATCTATGCCTAGAATATCTAGACCTAGAAGTACAAATATATTCACCGAGCACCCCAGCTGGGGTACAAGCGAAATCTAAAAAATCTGGGAATTCCGGGCGTCCGATGATACATTAGTCCTGGGGCCGGATCCTCCCGTTTCGTCCGTGGAGGAACGATATAGAGTATCCCCCCGGAGCAGTGCCGTCTACAGGCTCGACCCCGAACTACGTCAGTGCAGTCGCCACTCCGCTGAAAAGCGTATCTCGTCGGCCCATCTCCCGAAGTTCCTTGGTTTCTTGCGGAGTCGAGCCTCGAGGGACACTGTTCCACCTCGTCGTCACCCGGACCTAACTCGTGAGTATCATTTCGGTCCCGCCCTTTGATCCCTTTCGAAAATTCATCTTCACCCTTCACCTCCAGCATTTGTCACAATGGAATCGCGATTCTTTTAAGAGGTAAGGGAATCGGGTCTGTGGAATCTCGAGAACCTTGACCTCAGCCTTAGGCCTTCCCTAAGTCGATATTAAGCCTGTGTCGAGGAGACGACGAGGGACGTTGAATTGGGGGAGTTTTCGGGGACGTTGAAAAACGACCGCCTCCACCGCTAGGTAGGACACACCGCGAAAAGAGGTCGATAACATCGGCGCGCCCGCGCAATTCCTGCGTTTTCTTCCGCGGATGAAACGAGAGTGTGAGCTACGAGGGGACGGAGAATAAGCAGCAGGCGGTGCCCTCGTGTGCGTGTGGATAGATGGAGTGAGAAGGGCTGTGCGTTGTCGTTTCATCTGTCGAAAATCGTGGTGGCTTCTGGGACCACGAGAAAAAACCTGTCGTTGTTTCTTGGGTGGTTCCGACGGACTTGCTGCCCCTGGGAGGACGAAATCCGTGTTATCGATCAGCTGCGAGTAGGACAACACGTTTCTACGCGATGTATCCGTACGCAATGACGTCGTCGTGTGCTGCAACCTCGGACGTTGCTCTTGCACCAGGCTCCTCTGGTGCTGCAGTTTCCGTGCAGTGAGACGCAGGTACGTTTACACACACGGTTGCACCTGTACAGAGGGGACAACAGTTTTCGAGTATACATACAGGCAAGTGGCATCCTTTTCGAAGATTTATCCGGACGTGACGTTTGCTACTGACTTTATCGGACGGTCGAATGACACGCCGATAGTGTCATGGAGCCTGATAGCTTTTTCATGAAGAATCAACTGACAGAAGCTCGTCCCCACCCTCTCTGTTCGGTGACGTAATTTTATCGTTCTCTGCAGACTTCTGGGTCAGTTTATCCTTCTGACTGCAATCTAGCATTGCGTGGGTGGAGAATCTTGTTGACCTAACATCGAGCTTGTATTTAACACTGGAATAATCCTTCGGAATGACGAATCGACGATTTCATATTTTACGATTGTTGGAATTGTAATAGTGGTTTTGTTTGTGTGGACATTTTATGTGTTATTAGACTAAATTTTACTGTAAGTTACGTGGATATTGTTATACAATTTCCAGTGTTAAAAGTCTCGATTTATTTAGAACGTCGCTTGGGTCCTATCTCCATCGCCCCTCTCGGAGCATAATTAAGACGTTTCCTTCTTTAGAATTCCCTCAGCGGTTATTGCTTTTAAATTGAATCTTCGAGGAATCCCATCTTTTCCCTGTCTCTGCTTTCTTTCAGTTGACTAAGAGCAACGAACCGAGCACTGTCTCAATGGATCGATCGCAGTTTGCATTGCAAAAACGGGAGATCATTCGAAATTCAGGCAAATCGACCCAGCAACGCTCGGTGCTGGTATTAAACCTCGCACGGCGGTGCCTGGATCTATATGGACCCGAGTTTTTGAAGGCTCCATCTGACTCAAGGCTCATCCGTCCCTGATTTTCCCAACTTAATTTGTCCGTTGGTGTTAAATTCACCCAGTGGCAAAAATTAATATAACGAAGTGATAAATAGTTAAATTTGCAAATTCTTTAAAGTAAACATCACGAAGCCTCAGCTTAACTTACTTACACATGACAGAATAACGTCATTTCTTAGGAGAAAAATTGAACGATTGCGTTCAAAAGTAGTATTTAAAGAAGTAAGAACTATTAGGGTTCCAAACGGACCCAGGAACCGCTGGGTCTGTACAAGCATTATTAACACCAGAACTACTGACAATAAACGTATATCTATTTCTATCTAATAGATAAACATGACAAATTTCTAAAAATGCTTAAAGTTATAAATTAACTATTTTCTTCGTTTTTATATTGCAATGATAGTTGTGAAAAATCTGAGAAAAGTGTTGTTACATTTTTTAAATTATTTTAACCTTCCAAGGATAAAATAATTCTGATCGACGATTGGAAGTGCAATCGTTAAACGTAACGATGGCCGCGTGCGATTTATCGATCATTCCCAACAGACTTTCTCCTCCCGTAGTTGGGTCCATTACGCGATCGAGCGCGTATTACATACCCATAATGGATCCCTGTGCGTGGATGATGCTCGAACGAATGCTGTTTTGCAGCGGGCGTGTGTAACCGCCGTGTTCTGTAAATACAAACATGCCAGATGGTGTGTAGAAGCGCGTGATTAGTTTCCTCTGGTCACGTTGGAATGTCGAACTTGGAGAGTTTGGCTGACAGCTCGTTTCTATTCGATTGTACCCCCAAACCTGTACGTATGTATATATAAACGACGTACACACTTCTGGCATCGTTTCGATCGATTGTTCCCAGTGTTTCTGGGAGATAGACACGGATGAACAATGGATCCTCGATGCATTACAAATCCTGAAAAAAAAAAACTCGATGGTACCTAGGCTTGGTCGAGTTTCAATGAGAAACGTTCGCCACTCGAGGATCCTGTTCACTTCAATTAACTATTAGCGAGCAGAGATCTCGATTTTGAGCGAATCGATCTGGTTGTAAGTAAAAACTTTAATTGACCAGATCGTTTAATTTCTACTGCATCCTTTGTTTCTTTGTAGAATCGTTTCACACATCTGTGTTGCATCGTTTGATGGCGTTTCCTGTTTAAAGGAAGTAGACGGGAACGTTTCGCTTGGAAACAGGAAGATATAAAAATCGGAGATCGCCCGTGACACGATCGGGAAGACAATCCCTGATTCTTCCCGCGCCCATTTATTATTCCGGGGCTTTATTGCGCGCGCGTCACTCTGGCATTCCGCTGGCGTCGGATAACCGGAAACCGGAGGCCACAGCTTGAAGTTTCCTTGACGTGGTCTGCAAACTGCCGCCTTTAATCGTTACTGTTCCTCTACATGTATACATATAATGATCGCGAGCCATGCACATAGAAATTCTACCATACGTGTATACGTTAATTTTGCCTCTAATTAGTGCAATAGGAATTTGCTTCGACTCCATTTAATAGTCGCACAAGTGTTCTCTAGTTATTTACCAAATATATTAATACACAGCTTGCCTTTTCTGCTTCCTCCCATATCTTCAGGCGTAACGTTATCTCAATAACCTACTCTCTAAGTAACTACTCCCATTTTCTCTTTTCTTCATTTTATAATTTTATAATTTTGTAATTTTATAATTTTATAATTTTGTAATTTCATTTCCCACATTGTATTGGAATTTCGATTCGCGAGCTGTTTGTCTCCGGAAACGTTACGTCTCCAAAATGGCCGTTCCCTGCGGCCAGGTCCTTTTTCACGTTGAGCGCATCAAAGCGCGACAAGCACGAGGAAAAAGGAAATGGTGTTTTGCGTGCCGTAATTCGAGAGCGAATGCAAGCATCCCGAGAATGGATTCTATTTTGAGACACAGAGACGGTGATGCGAGTCGAAAAAGAGAAGTATAAAAATGGCACGCGAGACCATGCGGTTCGTTATCTGACTGTGTGTATGCATAGTGTGTTTCGTAATTGTGTGTGCCTAACCTTGGGGGAGATAAACCAGCCATGAAAACGTGACGATAAACAATGCTTGGATTGTTCTTTTTTCAATAGAAGCGTTTAATCGATTCACATAGAATTTATTGGGAATTACCATTTCCTGTTTCAGAAGGATCAAAACGAGAAAGAGAGAACGGCGGCAGGGAGTTCGGCGTACAACACCTTTCCGGACGATCTCTACCTAGACGACCAGGAACCTTTGGAGGGCTCTGGTCGAGGTGGCAGCGAAGGTCGCGACGATCTTGAAGCATCCGGCAGTGGCCTTGGCCCCGACGACGAGGACGGCGACGACGATCACGGTACAACTGTTCTGTTACATTAAACGAAACCTTAATCTCTTGACAACTCCGATTAGATTCCCTGAGGACTTTTTAGATATAACTAAGAACATTGATTAATCCTTTTACGTATACGTCACATCTAGAAAATCATATTTTTAGAGGTATTTGTCGTGAATATACAGACGAGGGGAACGTATTGGGACCATTTTTGAGTTAAGGAATAGCTAGAAATAGTTTTTGATTTAAAATATATATTTATCAATCTCATAATTTTGAAATACCGATTCCGGGACGTGTTTCACGCAGTCGTACTATCGTTTTTTCGATTCTTCGCCAATTTTTCGCCAATAATCTTTTATAATTATCGTGTTGTATCGTTTGTTGCAGAATTTAACAACAACAACAGGATAGAATCGGTGCCGAACAGGCCGACAGAACCAGAAGCACCATACTCGGTCGACGAACCGGTTGTGAAGACCAAGGAAGAGGTAAATATCGATAAAAATGACCAATTCTTGTGCCCAATCGCTCTTTTTCCCATTTAAACGATGTGATTCCCACGAAAAGATATTCCCAAATCAAGAAGGGTTTCACTACAGACAGCCCCATACCCTTTTCTGCACGAACGAGAAACCCATAGGGGGGGAATCCATTGAAACACATGGACGTTAAGACGGGTTATTAGATTTGTTTGGAAACACACATTGGTCCTACCCCCCTTGTCAAGCAGCCGAATTAAACGGATTAAGCTGATTAAGCCCCCGTGTCCCGTTCCAGACGATCGTCAAGCCTGTAAACCGACCCGACAACGAGGTCGATGTAATCGAGCCCTCAGGTGTCGAGGACGACCACTCGGACAACACAGACGTCTACATGAATCCGAAACACGAGGACCGCGCCAGCTCCTTCTTTGCTCAGCCAGGTGTGCTGGCAGGTGAGTTCAATTTTCGATCCAATTCCATCTCTTCGACGTAGTTAACCGATTGATCGAGTGACCACCAATCTCCTTCCAAGATTTTCTATTCATCGATCAATCTTGCAGAATCTATTGTCCCGATTCGTGGAGACCGATTTCCAAAGAAATAATCGATTTCATCGTTTTCAATTTCAATAAGACGAGTGGCAAAACGGTCCATCAAGCAGAATCAATCATACGTTGAAAATTCACGAAAGGGGGAATAGTGTCTTTAAACAGTGAAACACCGGAATTACACGGTTCGAATACCTGCCAAGGGATTACGTTATTTATTAACCTGTTCCTTTGGTATTATACTCCCAGGGCATAAGGGCAACACGTGAAACAACATTCCGTGGGTATGGTATTTATTCACCAGGGAGAGGAGTGGTGCGGGGGTTCTGTAACTCCGACGAAATTCTGGGTTAAGTTAACCGATCCAGACCACGCATAATAAACGCGCTACATAATTAACACGCTGAATATTTAACGCGTTGAATAACAAATCCCTCGTGTTCGGAGAGTTACTTAGCTCCCTTCGGATTTCGCGCTGCCTTGCTGTCCGCCTCGGGTTTCTACCTGTATTATATCAAGGTACAACAGCTAACAACTAGCAAATGATTAGAGATTTTAAAAGATACATTAACCCTTAACACTTTGAGTGCTATAGACGTATACATTTTTCCAACTATAGTTGTTGACGTGCACTATGGATATATATATATATATATATATATGTTTGACGAATGTTTTCTGCTTACGCTCCCGACGTAAGTAAAAGTGATCCATGTTTGAGATGGAAATATATTCAATAGAATCGCTTATTTCAGAAACCTCTTAAGTACAGAATTACAAATATTGAGATATTTAAGAAAAACTTCTAAATGGGCTAAAGGCAGATATTTTTTTACGAAAAAATTCTTCAATATAAAGGAAGGTTCTATACATAAAATGAAAACGTTATTATTTATTAAGATTCAGGGAAGGGGGTAAAACAAATGTACACCCTCTGCAGTTATGGGGTTTCTGCAATGAAATAAATTTACAAAGATGTTTTACTTACCTTCACAATGACAATAAAGACATATTGCGTCTTATTTAAGACTTTATTTATTCTTTTTTTTTTTTTAATCGGTACCTCGATACAGTTCACGGTACGCAAAAAAGTATTTCTACGACAGAGAACGTTTAACACTAGAACTACCGACGATAAACACATATTTGCTTCGATCGATGGATAAGCGTGAAAACTGTTGAAAACTATCAAATTTAAAAATTGACTAATTTCTTCACTTTCGTGTCGTAATAAAAGGTGCAAAAGATCTGCGAAAATGTATAGTCATAAAATTGTAGTCGTCGTTGTAAGAGTGTATTGACATGTCATTTTCACTTGCTTGGTAGTTCTAGTGTTAAATTTAAACTGAAAGGGTAAAATCGTACCCCACCACACACAGTATATAGTTACGTATACCAGAGTTAACCAGTGTAATTGAGTATTAAACATCGTCACCTCTTATTGTCAAATCGATGATTACCTAAATTCCCAAAACAAGAGTATTGGTGGCCACGATCCTAGGATCAAACGATCAACGGTACAATTGAAACAGTGAGTTCGATTAGTGACTAATTAGAACCGTTCGTGACGTTTCAGCGGTGATCGGTGGCGCAGTAGTAGGTCTGCTATGCGCGATCCTGGTGGTGATGTTCATCGTGTACAGGATGCGCAAGAAGGACGAGGGCTCGTACGCCCTCGACGAGCCGAGAAGATCGCCGGCGGCGCAGGCGTTCCCTAAACCGGGCGCGCCCCATCACAATCGAGAGTTCTACGCTTGAGGCGGCGAAGCCTGAACCTGGCTTTGACACCGCCGAGTTTTGCCCCACGACACACCACGAGCCGAGAAAGACGATGTCCTTCGACCGAATTGATCGCCGCCGACCACGCAACAGCCACAACCGCCGCGCGAAAAATCATCTTGTCAGTTACACCGAGGGGGGTTTCACGGGTATTACTCCCACAACAAGATACCATTGGGGAAGTTTGTCCGAAACACCCCTGGTTCTATCTCTGGTCCTTCGATCGGGGCATAATGTAATCTCGATTCCATCGACCATTCTTTCACAACCCCGTCAGGACAATTCTTTAACACCCCCTCTGCACTCATAGAAGCTTTTCCAAAACGTGTTCATCGGTATAGTAGATCACTCTCTGGGGTGTTTAAAGCAGCTCTTCGCTTTGTAAACGCCTTCGATTTCCTATACTGACAGGATTTTTAGGTGGAACGTTCGATCCACCCCCGAGAGTGTTATTAACTTCACCCCAAATGGGACCTTGCTTTCACACGGATCCATTTGTCGACGTGGTCGCGTGCACGGTGCGCGCTGATCGAAGGTCAACGTGGCGAGACTCTTACCCCAATCCATCCCTATCCTCGTCGGCAAGGTCGCGGCGATTACAGATGCATTTACAAGCGTATTACAGACCGCGTATACGTATTTAGGCGTACGTATAGGCGTAACCCTGTACAGGACTGTGAAGAGCGCGATCCGGTGGAAGGAGGGAAGGAAGAAGGAGGATCGTGTTGCGCCACAACGTGATTTCTTCTCGACGCACGGTCCCGTGAACCGCGACCTCGTTTGTCCGCCTAATCTCTTCACGATCCCCACCCCTCCTGATTTCCCATACCTTCTATTCCACACCCTCGTTTTTTTAGTCGTGTAACGAAATTCATCGAGTCGTATTTTAACGCTTTGACCAAGGGGGCCTTGACCCGTTCACGGTGTTTCCCACCTTTGTTTTTTTTTGTTTCTTTTTTACCAGGTCCCGGAAATCGGGGGAACGCTTCGCGTTTTCAGATTGGCCCTCCGAGAACGGACATTCGCGAGAAGGAACTATATATGTATGTCGATTTTTCGAAGGTTCTATCATTATTTCTTTCTATTTTTATTGTAAAGTGGCCAAGATATTCCGCGGTAGCTATTCTTCTTAAGCTTATTCGTCTGGTTCGTTTTAATTTTTTTGTTCGAAGTGGATTCTGTTGTAATCGGTAGGTTGTGGAGCGGAACGCGTCGGAAATTATTTTAACGATTAGGGTAATCGTGTTTCCCTTGTACGACGCGATACTTGCAGGAGACGTGTAGGTAAAATTATAAATTAAGGTAATTTTAATCGTTTCTTTTTTTTTTTTTAATTATTGTTAAGCATATGCAATAAAGAATAGGCCGATCGTTCAAATTTAATCATTCGCGGGACATGATCGCGCGTCTTTGTTAGGGTTGGAATAAACGAAATGTGCGAAAAGAATCAAATCTACGCCGAAATAAGAAAATAAGGGAACGGTGTTAGGTCGAATAATTGATTTTAGATGAATTACAAACGGGCATTCGGAAGTCAATGAATTTGAATCGGATTTAGTCGTAACGGAATCGATTACTTGACTTTACATATCGACGCCGAGATTGGTATAAACGTCGGTCCTACCGCCATTGTTTTTTTTTATACTTTTTATCAGAATTCCCTCGAACGTCAAACGGCACAAATCGAATCACACGATTCCCCCCCCCCCCCCCCCCCCGAATAGTAAAGTACTTTTCTATCTTTGAAAATTATTTATTCGTAGGGCTCGCTGAGGAGATGATAAACCAATTGCATTTTCGCGATATTTATAGAGTTAAACATTCACGCGTCCATATATACATATAGATATATATATACACACACATTATATTCCTAATTTTTCACATACGTTTCTCATGTACACCTGTCCATCGAACGTGTAGATAATCATCTAGCTTTTATCACGGACAAAATGTGGTTTCCAGGGACTCTGACGTGATCCCTTTTGGAGCCATTGCGAGATGTCAAGAATTATTGTTTTTAGACGTTCCCGTGCTTTCATTTTTATATAAAGAATACTAAAAAGAAGAAAAAAAAAAATACTAACACGGCAGGATAGAGAAGTTCAAGCTGAATCCTCAAGACGGAGGGGCGGTTCGTTCGAGCGCGATTGCATCGTTATTTGCCATGCACCTTAGTGGATAAAAAAAAAAAGGAGAAAGAAACTTCGTCAGTGCCATTTCATTGCGCAGTAAAACGCGGTACGTTTCACGCAACCGTCGCTCGATCTACCCGCCCGAGGAGTTCAGTAATCGGGGATTTAGCTCGGAGCGATCACGAAACACACAACCCCCTACCCCTATATGCGTGTCGTTCCCTTCTTCCACCTACCCACGAAACTCACGGGACAAACACCGCGCGCGCACCGTACAGGAGAAAGAAGGGGCTTCTTCTGCTGCTGGTCGAGAGAGAATAATTCTATTTGCCATGGATAACGAAAGACGTTTACATTTCCAGCGTGCAGGCGGAACTTCTTCGTCCTCCGATTGAAAAAGAAAGAAACGAAAAAGAACACGCCTATGCCATATATATATATATATATGTATTGACAAGAAACTACCGAAGGGGGTACGAAAAGAGAGTAAATAACAAAAACACACACACATTTACTACGTGTATATCTATTTGTTCGAAGATTTTCGTCCGCGGTATTTATCCCATGGTCGATCAATATCGCGAGATATATTGTAATAATTTATTGACCTTTTCACGTAGGACCAAGCGATTCCCCTTTCTCCCCTCCCTGTAATCCTATCTCGTTTGCCTTTACCTCGAATCCGTCGAAACACATCCGACCGATCCTGGGGATCGTTATCGTGATTTCTCGAGAATTTTCAAATTCCCGCCCAGCGTCACACGTTTTTCACCTCTTCGAACCAGGTAGAACGGGAGATCCGATTATTGCCTCGTTTCTCCGAGAGCCTTCGAGGGAAAAAACACCTTCCCTCCGACCTACCCCAATAACAACGCAAACCACCCTTGTACGAGGAGATTGGGAGATTGTTCGTTCGAAATAAAATTTTAAATACTGCGAGAATGTTAGCGGACTAACCGATTAATCGTGAAAGAAAAAAACGAAACATACGTTCCCTTCGTTTTTCGGAACGCACACATACACACATATACACACAGTAGTGGCTCGTAATCGACTTTTTAGTCGCGCCCGTCTAGGAGGCCGTTGGTTACTCCGCCGTCGCCGCTATGTCTCTCGTTCTGTCTCTCTCTCTCTCTTCAACGTTTCGACACTTTTTCGTAGAGCATAGAGCAGCGCCTGTCTTTTTAATACTCTCCAAAAATAGTTCGCGGTATCGGTCGTCGACGTTTACACACACGCAACGCAGTCATCGACCGGACGACGGCGTAAATGTGAAAAAAATAAACAAAAAAACAGAGAAAAAACTCTCGAGGATTTCCATACTTCGTAAAAAAAAAGAAAAAATAAGTAATCTTATATATACGATGTTATGCGGCTATAATGTCTTATATATAACGTTATTGTCACTTATTATGTCCTGTGCAATAATAATATGAATTTTACGTAACACGAACCGTCGCATTTATTACCGCCCGCCATACGACCGAAATAATCGCACAACTCGAACCGATCCGATGGGAGTCACAAGACAGGAAGCCATTTTCTCTATATTTTATTCAATCGTCGATCCTTTTTGCCTCGGTTGGAAGCGAGTCGTGGCCATTGCTCTCTATAACATCGCGATTATGCAGAATAGAACGGGAAGGGGATACTGTATTTATTACCGTGTTGAACACTGGTGATGAAAGTAACACAAACGAGCTCCGCAGCGATAGCAGTTCTACCTGGGACGCAGGTACTTCGGTTCAGAGGAGTCCGATGTGACGGTAAACGAAATATCATGCCAATACTGCCATGTATGTATATCACGTAAGAAAGAACAATTTCGTAACGAGAAAACGTCTCGATTCCCATTCCCTGTTTTTCTGTGCAACCCCGTCTTGTAATAAGACCATCATCTGTCGTCGAAACGATCGTTGGATGTCACAGGCAAAGCGTGTGCGAAGCTCGATGTTAACAGCCAACATCGCGGGAGGCGATAATCAGTCGCGTCATCATCGTCGTCACCCCTTTTCCTCTTCTAACCGGTGACGACTCAAAGCCGTTCGGTGTTGTGTAAATCAACGTGGAGGATCTCCTCGCCGCGATACCGATCTATATTTTCACGTATGATACCCGGATCGAGATCGTCGCCATATTTTCTTCTTCTACGAGGGAACACACACCTTTTTTTCTCCCCTCCCCATGATCCCTATCCACTGCTTCTGAATCGATCTTATCGATTTGTGAAATAGCTCGACGCTATTTTATATAAGCTTATTTATAACGCGTCTAGACGTCACGAGGATAAACTGTAACGATATTGCGGTAGTAATAATGGTATAAATTAAGTGTATTGATAGGGTCGACTTGGAAGGAGGAACTATTTAAACAGCTATTCTCAGTGTACAGATTGTGTTGGACGTTAAATGAACGGAAATATCGATACCGGAATCGATAGGTTGAGGTACTGACGGCCGTGTGAGTACCTTGAGAATAAGGAACATTGTGTTTAGGGTGAATCAGTTGCAATAAATGGAATCCAAATCATTCCTTGCTTCTAGTTTTCCCCGTGACTTAGCGGTACGTATTTGAACGTGGACGACGTGAAAAAAGTACTGTGCCCGATGTGGCCCTACGCCTTTAACCCGGAAGATTGCTATGGATACCGTAATTCGGTGATTAATCGCTAGTAAAGTATAAATATTTCTGCGAAGACGTTGTGTTCTTTTCACATATTTCTCTCGACGGAATTATAATTCTCTTTTTCATGGAAATTTATAACCCTCTTCCCGAAAGATCCGACTTCCCTTCCGCTGTTGAAAGCGAGAGAGGAGATCGTTGATCGAATTGTAACTCTCATTGTAACGATAGTTTTACGCGATATAGACGGGGAACTGTTTATTAGATAGTAAATAATTTTGTCCGCGTGGAGATGCAGAGAGCCTGAACGGTTTAACGGTGACATACTTACGGAGTAGGACACGCCATATTGGGAATTATTTTCGTGAACGACCGTTCGAATGAAACTTCTCGCAGAGACATGTGCGTATATATTTTTTACTACAGAAACTTCAGTTTAAATTCCATTCGGAAAAGCCATCGTTCCGTTTCAGGATCATTATGTATAGATAATGTCGATAAAAGGAGAATATCGTTTACAAGGCATAAAGAAATTTTTCTGTCAAAGGCTCTCCCGCCTAGAGCATTAACTTACGGACGACGTAAAAATACCACGGGAAGAAAGAAAAACGCGAAAAAGGAAGAGGCGTTATACGCTGCATTTCCACGTGGTTCGTTTAATAATCGAGAGGCGCTATCCCACATTCTATGCGGCGGGTGACAAACACTAATGAAATCATATTTTATAAGAAGATGTATGTACTCGGAACGAACGCTATAGCAATGAGAAGAGTCTGTCCTAACAGTAGAAAAAAGAACCCATAGGCCAGGTGAACGAATGGATATAATAATTTTAAAAGTGAACATAAGTAATATTTAATGATAACTCTAATTAACAATGTTATTTTCTAAATGTAAGTATTGTCTGTCTTGTCCTACCT